ATCCCTCATGAACCCCACTGGGATACTCCCTAACCCAACCAACCCAGGTGGGACAGAAGACCCAAGGCGGAGGCTATCGACTGACTGTCCCTCAGAATGGTGATGGCCACGAAGAGGAGTGAGCAAAGACCACTCAGGAAGGGGGAGGACAACTCTGACAAGGGAGGCATCACGGGCACTCTTTGGCTTCTGAGCCTCAGTGGCAAGCGACCCCATCTATGAAATGGGAAGGACAGGTAGCTGGACAGATCAGGGACCCCCAACCATGAGTGCTGCCCTGGTCACACGGGAAACGTGCTAACAGTGGAGATGCCAGGGCCCACGGAGTGAATTCCTGTCTTGGGGGTGGGGAGAGTGGGCACATGGGGTTGAAAGTTTCTAGGCAGGCTGGAATACAGCTCAGGATGGGACAGTAACTAACACACATTAGTGCCTCGGGTTCCCCCAGCAGAGTTGGATGCACCCACGGTTCCCAGCAGTGGCCCTGTCCAAAGGTGAGCTGACACAGTGGGCAGTGTGGTGACAAGTGGGTAGACTGAGGCAGGGAGGCTGCAGGGAAGTGGAAGCTGAGGTTCAAATGGAGCCAGTGAGGACAACACTGGATTAAGAGCAACAGCTGCCCAGTGCCCCAGCCCAGGACAAGTACTTCCTAGCCCACGAGCCCACACCACGTGCAGCACAGAGGGAGGAAGGGAGCTCCAGGGAAGACGCCAAAGGGATGGATCCAGAGGTGGGGACATCTGGAGGTTCAGGAAGATATATCTGGTCAGAACATGGCTGAAACCACAGCCCAGCAGCCTACCCTTGCGATCCAAGCTCCATGTGTCCTCACCAGGGGACCTGGAAGATGCTCTGCTCTGCAGGAAGCTTCCAGGGTTATATATAGCCCATTTGCCAGGGCATGACAAGCTCCAGCCCTCTGACAGGGCTTGGGTGCAGGGTTAAGAACTCTGCCCTCTAGAAAGCTGAGTGCACCCAAACCCAAGATGATAAGAACACCATTCAATGCTCTGCCCCACCGCTTTTAAATAGCCTTGGCTGTCCTGGAACTCACTCTATAGACCAGGCTGGCCTCAAGCCCACAGAGCTCCGCCTGCCTCCGCCTCCCAAGTGCTGGGATTAAAGGTGTGCGCCACCACTGCCCAGCTTCTGGGCCCCATTTTTTGTGGTAGTTTTTCTATAAAATGTGGAATCCGTTCCTATTTCTCAGGGAGCTATGAGGATGGAATGAGACAGGGCTTACGAGGCTGCCCACTGAGCAGCCCTGGGTGATGGATGTGTAAGAGGTGTCACCAAGACGTGGAAGGGAGGGACACATGCTGCTGGGCATTGGTGGGCATGCAGTGTGGGAGGAGGCCAGGTGGACAGGCAGGTGTCATGGGAGCCCGCCTGGGCTGTGATCACTGTTCCTAGTGGGGACAACGGGCTCTGAGCCTCCAGAAGCAGGAAATCAGAGATCCCAGGCAAAGATCTCTCAGGTGAGCAGACAGACTGAGGACTAACAGACCAACAGGGTGCTGGCTCCTTCCTCAGCCCCCTTGCACACGTGATTTCTAAGTGCACTCTCTCCTCAGCCCCTTGCACACACACACACACTCTCAGTGCACTCTCCTCAGCCCTTGCACACACACTCTCAGTGCACTCTCCTCAGCCCCTTGCACACACATTCTCAGTGCACTCTCTCCTCAGCCCCTTGCACACACACACTCTCAGTGCACACTCTCCTCAGCCCCTTGCACACACACACTCTCAGTGCACACTCTCCTCAGCCCCTTGCACAACACTCTCAGTGCACTCTCCTCAGCCCCTTGCACACACACTCTCAGTGCACACTCTCCTCAGCCCCTTGCACACACACTCTCAGTGCACACTCTCCTCAGCCCCTTGCACACACACACTCTCAGTGCACTCTCTCCTCAGCCCCTTGCACACACATTCTCAGTGCACTCTCCTCAGCCCTTTGCACACACACACTCTCAGTGCACTCTCTCCTCAGCCCCTTGCACACACATTCTCAGTGCATTCTCCTCAGCCCCTTGCACACACACTCTCAGTGCACACTCTCCTCAGCCCCTTGCACACACACACTCTCAGTGCACTCTCCTCAGCCCCTTGCACCCACACTCTCAGTGCACTCTCTCCTCAGGCCCTTGCACACGCACATTCTCAGTGCACTCTCCTCAGCCCCTTGCACACGCACACTCTCAGTGCAGGCTTCTTCCCAGATTCTTTGCACACACCACTACTCCCTACTAAAGCTCGCCTTCCCTCCTGCTCTGTGCCAGTGTTAAAATGTCTTCCTGTGAGTCTGGTGAGCATCTTCCTCTAGTGACGGCCCTAGCCTGGCCCTTGGAGGTCAGACTCTAAGAATGGTCTCCCCTTGGGAGGCAGAGGCAGGCGGATCTCTGTAAGTTCGAGGCCAGCCTGATCTACAGAGCGAGTTCCAGGACAGCCTCCAAAACTACACAGAGAAACCCTGTCTTAGAAAGAAAAAAAGAGGCCTCCCAGGTTGCCAGATCAATACAGAGACCTATTTGTGAAGCCAAGTTACTAACAAAATAAAACCAGTTAGATAAATTATGTCACAGCCACTCAACTATTGTTGAGTTTTCATATTTAAAATGTTTGGTATTTAAACATTTTGAGACTGGGTCTCATAAGTAGCCCAGGCTAGCCCAAAACTTGCTGTGTAGCCTGAACTAGCCTTAAAGTCAAAGTGATCCTCCTGCCTCCAGGGTTCTGGGATTAGAGTTGCATACCATTGCATCCAGCAAATTTGCTTTACTTTTTTAAAAACTATTTTATTTATTCATTCATTCATTCGTTAGACAGGCTATCACTGTGTAGTTCTGACTGGCCTGGAACTCACAGAGACCTGCCTCTGCCTCCTGAGTGCTAGGATTAAAGGCGTGTAACACCACACCCAGCAAATGAGCTCTTTTTAACTGGCTAGACTGTTTGGTGCTTTTTAAACAAGTGATCCATGTGGAGCTGGCTTCTCTTTAGTGAACTCCAGGCTAAGCTGACACTCAGGAGCCTTCCCAGCTTGGTGAAGGAGGCAGGGAGCGTCCACGTCAGAAGACTGAAAGCCAGCGGGTGGGAAATGACTCAGCCATGCCACAGAGCAGGACAGCACAGCACTGTCGCCCGGACCCGGTGATGCCGAGGAGGCTGGCTGCAGATGGCCTTGCAGCTGTGACCACGGTCTCTTCACCCAAGGCCCAGAGCCCTCAGGCACCCCCAAGGACATGGGTTTCCACTTCACCAGTGCCTCAAAGTTGCTCCAGTCCTAGGGCTAGCAGAAACCAGAATCACTGGCCTTAAAATAGGCCCAGGAACCGAAAACAGCGTTGCTACCACTCCGCACAGACACACTTCCTCCCTCCATGCTGGCCCACAACAGCTAACAACCATCAGCTTGAAGGGTTGCTGCCATCCTGAGAGATTTGCCCAAGGACTGCCAACGGGCCTGAACCTCAGAACAAGAAGCCATCTCTTTGGAGGTTTTTCCCTCAGCCAGCTGTAGCCCACTCCCTTTCTTAACAACTCTAATTCCTGATCCTAAAAAGAATCCTATGGGCAGACATTCCAACAGACATCCTCACCCGGGACATCAGCTCAGCCTGAGCTGGCTCCCTCAGAGCTTATGCTGAGCCCATGCACGCCATGCTGCTTTTCTGTAATTCACATGTCCCCACAGAGCCTGCCTCCTTTTTTACAGTCAGGACATAGAGGTGGTGCTTGGCCACAGTCCTCCTCCCTTCCAGCCATACCTCCCAGGGGATCCCCAGCCACCACTTAAACCCAGCAATATCTATCTGCCTGGAAAAGTGCCAGGTCAGCTGGGGGTGCACGGGGCCCATCCCACTTCAAAAGGTGACCCCAGCGGCCCAGCGCACGTGAGAACATGGTTCATAGGAGGCAGCAGTTCCTCCTTCATCTTTCTTGAACCTTCTCCAGGCTGTCTCTCACTGGCCTCGGCTGGGGTTGGCCAGGCCTCCTAGCTCTGTGACCTCAGGAGGTCCCTCTGTAGAGCAGCTTCCTCACCTTGTGAAACGGGGTAGTGGCAGAGCCTCTCTCCACAGGAGCCAAGCTATAGCAAATGCTACAGGTGCAGGAGCATCTGGCCTGACACCTGCCCAGGCCAAAGCCACACCTACAAAGCTCGCAGAGGCCAGTCCTGAGAAGCACCACATTCTCAGACACTCCACCCAAGTCACTGCTCCAGCCTCAACTCTCACAGCCCCCTCCCCAGACTGCCCAGCGTCTCCTCCTCCATCCAGCCCCTCCCAGACTCAGGTCTGCCCAGAGGCCAACAGCATTCACAAACCCCTCCCGTGAGTAGTCTCTTGTGCACGTGACCCTTTCCTTGGTCCATCTCAGCCAAGCAAGCGTACGTGCCGACCTGGGGGACACAAGGCCACACTGGCACACTGAAGACAGGTCTGGGCAGGCCTCTGCTCTGTGCAGAGCCTGAACTCAGCTACACCCTGCCACTTGTGGTCGAAGGCACAACACCACCCCTCCAAACCTGTGTTCCAGGCAGTGCCAGGAGACCTATGGCTTAGACACACACTTCAGGGATAAACAGAAAGAATGAACACAAAGCACTCAGCACCCAGACAGGCGAAGACCCCTACACCATCTATCAGGCAAGGCCGCCCAACACCCAGGCCCGAGGCCTTCAAAATTACTCAGCCAAGACAGAGACAAAGCAGCAAGATGTGGGCCCCGGCCCCCCAGAACTCACACTGGTTGGTGAAACTGCCTATTTATAAAAGACCCTGCCTGTGTTGCTATTCGGGACCGGGGAGGAGTCCCAGCCCTATGAGAAGCAGTGGGCCTTTATCACATGGGTGAGTACCAACCAGTCAGGTAGGCCAGAGATCTCTGGGAGCTACAGAGCCGTAAGTAGTTTCCTGTGGGAACACCAAAATCTTGCATGGGCAGCCACAATCTTGGCTGCTTCCAGTAGACTTTTTACTTAACCTGGCAATCACCTACGCAGCTGTATTCTGTCTTCCCTGAGAGATGGTGCCCTGCAATAAAACAAGAACCAGCTTCAATCCCTGGCGCACAGCAGGTGCTCAAAAAATGTTTTGACTGAGGCCAACACAGAAGAGAGTAAAAAAAATCAGAATTGTAGCTACAAGGCGCCTTTCATCCTGAGAGCCAAGTGACCATCCTTACGCAGATAGGGCCAGCAACTTCGTCCTATCTTATAAACAGACACCGACTCAGACAGGATAATAGCTGTCCCAGAGGCTCCCTGGACACCTCACAAACAAACAAACAAAAAAACAGCCTGAGAGGACACAGCATAGCTCTGAGTAACAAGCTTTGCTTAAACACCTAAACTCATTCATAATGGGCTGGGTGTGTCACTGGGTCATAAAGCACGTGTTTAGCATGAGGCTCTCAGTCCACTTCCCAACACCAATAAATTTATTAATAGACCCAACAGGTTGTCACAGCTGTAAAGTGAGGATGGCAGATGGAATCCAAAGGACAAAACTGAAACAAAAATGCAAAGCTGTCCGACAGGCCGAGGGGGTAACTGACTGCTTGCCAGGTGTCCAGACCCCTGACAGGGCTCTGAGTTCCTACATTCTAAGTGTGCGGGCCAACCGTCAGGCCTACGATGGGCAGCATCCACCATCAACTTGACAGGATCTAAAATCACTTAAAAAACAAGCCTGTGGGCAAGGCTTTGAGGGATCATCTGGACTGGGTTAATCCATGTGGGGAAAGCCACCATGAACATAGACAGACACATCTCACGGGGGCGGAGTCCTGGACAGCACAAAAAGGAGAACATGAACTTGGTGCCAGCATTTACCTATCTCTCTCTCTGCTTCCTGGTGCAGATGCCATATTACCAGCCGCCTCAAACACCTGCTGCCATGATGAACTCTACCCTTGAATTTTGAGCCAAAACAAACCAGTCCTGACCGAAGTTGCTATTGTTAGGTATTTTGTGGCAGCAACTCACAAAGTATCCAATGCAAGGCTCTAACCCAACTGGGATGTAAATCCCTGCCAGGCTTGCCCCTTCCTCTCTGAACACCAGGTTTCTCGTGTGAAAAGAACAGTCTCTTCTAAGAGGCAAAGGCTCAATCCTCCTTGGCCATCCACACAGCAGGGAAATGCTTCATTTGTTCCTGACATGTTTACTGAGGTCAGGCTGTGTACATGATCCCATGTCAGGCACCAACAGGAGGACTGGGCAGTGCCCTCGTGGCTCCTGATTGCTGGAGGGACAGCCACACAGCTCATGACAAAGCCACAGTCGTGGCAATCATCTAGGACAGGGGGGACAGGGCTATGTGACTGGGTGTGGAGGATGGGTTCCAGGTGACAGGAGAGAACTGAGATTCCAAGGAGACCTCGAAGTGCGTGAGGGGCAAATGAGCAGGAGCAGCTTCCCATGCAGACAAAGCAGCAGCAGCACACACAGACTCCCACAGCCTCAAAGCGCTAGTGTCTAAGAATGAGAGGGTGAGGGGGCCTGGCGTATGAACGAGGACTGGAGGCTGGGAGACGTGGCAGACCTGACAGGCAGAGCAGGCCTGGCTGGGTCCGCAGGGAGGATCTGGGGTCATACTAGCCAGCGGTCAGCCAGCTGTGCCACTTCCTCACCGGGTTGCCCCTGAGCAAGACTCCTCACGGGTGGCAGACTATATTCATGCTTGGCAAACGTGATACGGTGTCAGGGTTGAACTAACCGGGCATGCGCAGGGCACCTGGCATGCAGTGAGTTCCCAGGTAAGGCTCGGTTATGGGCGTACGGCTCTCAGGGAATGACCGTACAGGCCGTCTAGGAGGGGAGACTGTAACAGGAGTGATGATACTCTCAGGTCAAGAACAACAGAGGTGGGTGTGTGTAGAGGAGACAGTGAAGGGGCTACCTGGAGCTGCTGACATCACAGGGCTGAGGAGTTTGCAACAGATGGTCCCCCAGACCCTCCCCAATTCAGACATTCTGTGCCAAGTGACAGCTGGTCATGACAGGCGGGCACACAGTAGGTGCTCATATACTGAGCCCATTAATAAGGGTTTTCTAATTGGCTACAAGCCATTCTCTGGACACCTTATTGAAGAAACCACTAAAATCTACAGTGTTCATTCATTCCCACCTCAGAAGACACCCCCAGGTGGCCATACCTGCCTAACAAGAGAACTCCACTAAAGGTGAGCTGTGCTAGACCCTGAGGCCTGAGAGGGTCAGGTGCTAACAGGCCTCCTTCAAAAAAGAATTGAAATCTACTTCCTGTCCTCACCAAGACTCCAGGGCGTGGCCTACCAAGGGACCTCGAGTGCCAGGCTTTACCCTGTCCCTGCTACTCTGTGGCCTTACCACTTTGGGGCAATGATCGAATCTAGAAGGCTGTCACCTCCCCAAAGGGGAGAAAAGGAAAAAAGCCTAAGCCAGGAGGGAGGTTGGGGTGAGGGGACACTAACATCATGGAATGAAGTCATTCCTTGCATGAAGAAGGGAGGGGTCTTCTTGCAGAGAAAATGACAAGCCAGAGACTATAGTGGCAGGGGCTCCTCTACATGGCTAAGGGCAAATGCATCAATAATGCATGACCTCTCATCCAAGAAGACCCCACCCACACCTACAGTCCCAGGTCCTTTCAAACAATGAGACACCCCCCACCTCATCCAGCTGACGAATGGCGCCTTAGACTAGAATCACACCCAGAGAGGCTGCAGCAAGCCCTGATCCCTGTGCCAAGTAGGTGGGGTCAAGGGGCAGAGGCCCAACAGGTCCCTGATAGAGCTAATGGACAAGAAGGCCTTTGGGTGAAGAAAGACAAAGGCTACAACAAGCAGGAGACACATCCTTCCATGTGGGCTGGGGATGCGATCAGGACACTGCCTTGCGCGCTGGACTAAAGCTCTCCCGAAATCTCACGCCCACACTCCCCGCCGCAGCAGTGGGGCCCCCGGGTCTTCCTGGAGAAGACAGGAGACTTGCAGAACCGCGAAGAGGAAGGAGGAGCTGGGGCAGACATCCTGACAGTCAGAGGGAGACGGAGACTCAAAGACACACAAAGCTCGGGGTTCTGTGGCACCGAAATGACAGAGACTTGGGGTCCCGAGAGACAGGGCGCAGGACCGTGGCGACGCACGGAGGACAGGGGGCCCAGGGGGACGCGCGGAGGTGGACACGCGCGGACAGTCGCGCGCGCTCCCGGCACCGGCACCGGCACTCACCCAGGCCGCAGACCTCGCGGCGCAGGTTGAGGCGACCGCGCTCCTCCGCTATGGCGCGCAGCATGTGGTGCAACGAGCGCTCCTCCTCTTCGGCGCCGTCCGCGGGCTCCCGGGAAGCGGCCGGTTGCGTGGACGGTCCAGCCCGGAGCCCCGCGGGCGCGGACGCCGAGGCACAGGCCCGGCCCGGCGGCCGCGCGGAGGCCATGCCGGGCCCCGGCTCATCGCCCGCGCCGCGCCCGCGGGGGCCCCCGGCACGCCCCGCCGCCCGTGCCCCGCCGCCGGCCGCCGCGAGCACCAGTGAAGCCACAATCCGCTTTTGTGCGCGTCGCCGCCGCCGCCGCCGCCGCTGACCTCGGAGCACAGGCCAGTACTGCGAGCCTCCGCTCCGCCGCCGCCCGCGCGCGTCCGACACCGCCCAGGCCACGCCCCTGACACAGTCACGCCCATAAACCCGCCCTTTCTCCGCCTCCCGCACGCAAGATCCCCACCCCTTATTCTCAAAACCCCGCCCTACTTTCCGGCTAAGGCGGTGAGTTGTCCCTGGTCCTGCCCCCTCTCCTGGCCCCTCCTACTTCCTTGCGGCCAGCTTCGGCCAACTTCGAACGCCCACCGCGGCCTCGCTGCAACCTGTCGCGTGATGCCCTTCCCACATCTTCCTTGGCCTCCTGACCTTCCCTGCTGCACTTGTTCCCCCACCGGGAGCCCCCCCTTCTCCAGCCCCACCCCGCCCACGACCTCCCTCCAGTAGAGTCACGCCTCTGAGCCTCCCCCTCTACGCCGCACTGATTTTGCGCTTTGTCACCGCCCTGTGCATCCCCTCCTGTTTCCCTTCTGTCTCCACCACACCAGCTTATTTCTTCCTGAACCTTCCACCTAGGTTCTGCTGAGAACTTGCTTCCCAGAACTCTGCAAAAAGTGGTTACTTCTGGGGGCCGCTGTGCAGGATGGGACGCCTCAGTTCCCTTGGCTGTACACCGGGGGAGGGGCCTGGGAAGTTGTTCCCTGACTTCTTAGCGCCTGTGCTGAGGAGGTACGTAGAGGGCAGAGGTGAATGAGGTCAGCTGACATGGGATTCTGATGAAGGCCAAAGTCCAGCTAGACAACAACCCCTGAGCTAAGAGAGGAGGATCCAGGGAAGTAGCCGCCAGAGGCCGCCTTCTGACCTCACCCCGTGGTCCTTTCCCAGGATGGCAGTAAGTGGCCATGAACCGCTGCTGTCAGCCAGCTGCGTCTCCAGTGTCAGCTCCTGTCCCGATGTTTCACCCCATCTAGAGCGCCTTCTCCCCATTTCTCCTCTCCTTTGGGTCCCAGTGTCCTCAAAAACCCACCTTGCCTGGCTCTCCTGTTCCTATTTCTCTACACAGTACCCTCTACACACACACACACACACACACACACACACACACACACACACACACACACACTGACATCACATTGCATAGCTGCAGAAGGCGTCAAGGCCTCACCAGGAACCAAAGCACCCAGCACCATTATTATGTTGGACTTGGCAGACATCAGAATGGTGAGAAAGCAAACACCTGTTGTTTAAGCCATGGTATTTCGCCACGGTGATGCTGTGTGTTCTGCAAGCCTGTCTTCTGCCAGCTGTATTCCCGGTGCCCAGAAAATTCAGGGACGTGATGGAGAGTGGAGGAGAGAGGTCGGCCAAGGAAGATTGCGTTGGGGAGGTATGGCATCAAGAGGTGTGGAAATCACTCCAGAGCAAGAAATGGGCAGCATCGATCCGCTAATCTAGAGATTGGTGCCGCTGTCCCCTGACACCCTCAGGGCAGGGCCTGACTCTGACTCCTTCCATGGTCCCAGAGTCACACACAGAAGGGACTCTGTAAAAAAGATGTGCATCGAGAAAATTAATGGCCTTTGACCCCCATCTGCTAAAGAGGACACAGCATGAAGGTTGAGGTGACCAAGTCTGAGTCTGGAGCTGAGGTTTGGCTGTTGAGCCTGAGGGGAAGGGTATGGCCATCAGACAGTGTGTGTGAGCTCTCAAAAGCTGGCAGCAGACTGCTTCTTTTCTTCCAGGGAAGCCACACCACTGCCTACACATCCCCACTGGCAGGCCAGGCTCTTGCCTGAAATCCTTGCTGCTCCAACAAAGTAGTCACCATCAGGGCTCCCCTACCCTGGGAAGCCTTCTGAGGAGTTTGGCCAAAGACTGTGTCTTTAGCGACTTCCCAATCCCTTGTCCTGGACCCTGCACAGCTGCCTCCAAAGGATCAATGTCAAATCAACTCATCCCAATTTCCCTGACCTCCATCCCAGGACAGGTGCCAGAATGTATTTGCTGAATAAACAGGCGGATGTTAATTGGATTTTCTCATTAGTAATACTCATTGTCCGCATGGGGACTCCTCCCAGCGGCAGGTAGAGGATGTCTTACACTGGACGAGCATGCCACAGCTTCCCCGCTTTTCTTAATATGGACTAAGTGATCAGCACCCAGACCAAGACACAGTTGAGAAGCAGGTTGAGTACGTGTGTGGTCAGGTCATGTCTTTCAAGTGGAGAGCAAGCTGGCTGGATGGTGCACACCTATTGATCCAAGCTGTCAGGCTGGGAGGGCCGTGGACCAGTGAGATAGCTCGTCGGATTAATGAGCCTGCCACCGAGCCTGACCGTCTGAGTTCAATACTCCAGATCTACTTGATGGAGGGAGAGAACCAGCTCTGACTAGTTTTCCTCTGACCTCCACATGTGTGTTGTGGTATACATGCCCACACACATGAACATATGCAAACAAAAGGATTGGCTGGACTGTCAGCATGGGCCTGTAAGACTAAAAAAAGCTGCCAGAAAGACTTGATAATGATAAATGCCTTGTTAGTCCTGTGGGGCTCGGCTGGATCCTAACCCCCTATAGAGCCATAGATAATAAGTGTGTCTTCTTAGTTGTGTTTAATATTAATTCGTTGTGGCAGAAAAAAAAACTTAAGCTATAAATAACCCGGATTCGCCTTTGTCTGGCCAGTCTGCTGGTTTTCTATAGTTCTGCTCTTCCAGAACACACGGAAGGGAACCCAGTGGCTCCCAACTGCAGCACTTCATTCCATGAAGTTCCTCAGGCCCTGGAACAGTGAAGCCAAGTTTAGCACAACTGGAAACCAACTACGAGTCATTCTCTTTAATGGGTCAGTTGCTTGATTTTTCATGTTACGGCCTGCCTAGTACGAGCAGGTGGTGTCTGTGGGTCCATTTTTAGCTTTACCTATTTGGGGATAACCTTACTCTAAGAGCTAGTCAGGACGAATGCCCGTGGACTCCTTACCTCGTGCTTTAAGTGACCGGAAGCCTAGAGACCTGCTAGAGAAGATGCTAGTTCATTAGAGTCCCATGCCACCAGCTGTCTCCATCAGCTGTGTCTACTGCCTATCCAGTGCAGTGAGAGACTGGATAGTCCCCACTGCCCCTAACCTTACTGTCCTGTCGGTCTATGATTGGATCTCCAATGGGAAACAGACGGCAATCAGTCAATGCTCAGGGTAGGCAGATTACAACCATCCCACCAAGGAACAAGTTCAAGGGTTCTTCTGTCCTCCCCTGAAAACCTGCTAAAGGCAACAGCTTGCTGGGCGGTGGCAGTGCACACTTGCAGCTTCCTGGCCTGATGTTCTTATGGCCCAGGGTTCTCCCACTTGCTCAGAACCTGTTCCTTGCTTTTGAACCTGATCCTCATGCCTTCATCTCCTGGTGCTGAGATCACAGGTGTACACTACCACACAGGGCTCCCCAGCCTCTGTTTCACCTGGGAAGTTAAATGCAGCCATCCCCAGGACTAGACTGCAAGGGCGCTTGTTATGGAATATTATTTTAACTAGGCAAAGATGTATTACATTAGTTTATGCTGCAGAATATTGCTTTAACTGTGTAAAGGCGTGTTACTTTTTTATGCTTCATTTGTGTAATGATGTAAAGATGTGTGTTCAGTTATGTAAAGAAAAGTTGCACCTGTTTCATCTTGCATGCCTAAGACACCTGATTGGTCTGATAAAAAGCTGAATGGCCAATAGCTAAGCTGAGAAAGGATAGGTGGAGCTAGCAGGCAGAGAGAATGAATAGGAGAATAAATCTAGGCTCAGAAAGGAAGGAAGGAACTAGAGAGGAGGAGGAGAGATGCCGCCATAGAGAAGCCGTGAAAGAAAGATCTACAGAAGAAAGGTAATAAGCCCCCGTGGGGCAAACGGTAGATAAACATAAACAGGACAATATAAAGTTAAAAGAGCTAACCAGAAGCATGCCTAGGCCAGGCCAAGCACTCAAAACTGGTAACAAGTCTCTGTGTCATGACTGATTGGTGACCCAAATGAAAAAGCCTGGTACAGGCCCCTCCTTTTGTCATCCTGCTGCAAGTGAAACGGCCCACTGTTAAGTTCCTCTTAACTCCCTTCTCTCTTCTGCCCTTTTTCTAATGTCATGAAATAAAGGCATTTTGTGTATGTGGTGTTTGTATATATGTGTGTACATGCTCATGTGTGTGCTCATATGTGTAAGTATGACTATGTAGTGTGCAAAGTGCTTGTATGTATGTGTGTGCATGCTCTGTGTGTGTGTGTGTGTGCATGCTCATGTGTATGCATGAACTATATAGTGGGCAGAGTGTTTGTATGAATGTGTGCACATGCTCATGTGTGTATGTATGACTATGTAGTGGGGCAGAGGTTGGTTTCAGGTATTACTCTGCCTCCATCTTGTTTTTAAAAAATAGGTGAGCCTAGAGCTCACCAATTATGCTAAACCAGCTGGTCAGCAAGTCCTGGTGACAACTGCTCAGTGCCAGAGTTGACAACATGTGCCACTGAGTCCAGCTTTAAAAAATATGGATTATTACTCTATGTGTATGTTTTGCCTGCATGTATGTCTGTGCACCAGACGTGCCAGAAGAAGGTGTTGGAGTTCCTGGAACTGACGTTAACAGTTATGAGCTGCCATGTGGGGCTGGGAATTGGACCTGGGGTCTCTGGAAGAGCAACCAGTGCTCTTGACCACTGAGCCATCTCTCCAGCCCCCAAGTTCAGCTTTTTATGTGTGTGCTGGGGATCTGAACTCAGGTCCTCATGCTTGTATGGCAAGCATTTTACTGAACCATCTCCCCAGCCTCCAAAGAGTTATCTAGAATTCTCTCATTAGCACTCTATTTTTCTTTTAATAGCTCCCACTGAAACTGCGCTGAAAGGGACAACCTTACAACTATAATTAGATGCTGATGCCTTGGTGAGAAGGAAGGAGTCACAGATTTTGAAAGCAACACCTTATAGAATTGACATCGGAGAGACTTGGGATAACATTATTTTTGCACTAAGAATTTGAACCCAGGGTCTCAAACATGCTGGCAAGTGCTCTCCTACTGGGCTATATATCCTCAGCCATTTGGGATGTTTTGATTTTGAAACAGGGTCTTGCTAAGTATCCTAAATAGACTGAATCCCTAGCTGTCCTGGAACTCACTCTGTGGACCAGGCTGGCCTCAAACTCACAGAGATCTGCCTGCCTCTGCCTCCCCAGTGCTGGGGTTAAAGATGTACCCCACCACCACCCCTGGATAGAGAAACTTTTCCGAAGCCCAAACTTGAATCCTTTCCTATTCTGCAGCTGGGACTGAGTGCCCTGGAGCCCCCGCCTCTCCCTCCTGTTACTTGCTGCCATCCTTCCACTCTTACTGTAAATTCCTTTGTCTAGAAAGTTCCTTCCCATCAAGTTCAGGCATCATTTTTCCAAGGAAGTGCTGAGAATCTGTGACCCAGTTTCCAGGTCTGGTTTTTCCTGATCCCTAAGAGCCTGTTCCTACCCAGAACCCCTGTGTCCTTCCAAGCTACTACATCACGATTTGGAGGAAGAAGTGAACTAGAGGAAGAGAGACTGGATTGGGGGATGGGGATGGGGGCAAGGGAATGTAGTTCTTGGGTGTGATTCTAGACCCTTGGGGAGGAGCACAGCTGTTTTCCCTCAGGAGCTGACACACAGAAAGCCTTCCATAAATGCTTTGTGTTGAATCAGTGAAAGGGAAGTGAACATGGGTAGGATTGTAGAGGGCTTGGAGGTCCTTGTGCTCACAGATAGACACTAGGGAAACCAGGCACATTAAATATGCAGACTTGTCTCTTCAATGGAAGGGATATACACATGTTTTCCACCCAGAAGGCTGGGAATGGATGTTGATAACCTGGTGATCTGTGCTATCTGTAAGGTCTGCCACACCCGAATCCCCCAGACTATTGGCTTATCCTGGACCCTTCCCCCCAGACCTTTATCGTGAGCATTGTTCTCAGTCAATAGAACCCATCCCTGGGGGAGATGTCACTGTGGTGGTTAGAAAGAGGTCCCCAAAGGGATTGGCACTGATGAAGTGGGTGTGGTCTTGTTGGAGTGGGTGTGGCCTTGTTGGAGGAAGTGTGTCACTGTGGGTGTGGGCTTTGAGGTCTCATGTATGCTACACCTAGTGATGCAGTACACTTCCTGTTGCTTCCACATCAGCGTATAGCAGCTACCTCTTCAGCACCACACCTGCCTGCATGCCGCGTGATGATAATGGACTGAACCTCTGAAATGTAAGTGAGCCGCCGCAATGAAATGGTTTTCTCTCCACAGCAATAGAAACCCTGAGACAGAGACCTCTTAATGGCCCAGACCACACCAGATCCTCCCCTAGGCCCTTAAACTATAGAACTCATCTTAGGGAAGAGGTCACGCATACTTTGCAAAGGACTTGATGTAGCTACACCTTAAGCTTTATTGAGATAATTGTTACTGGGAAACATGCTTACAATAAATAGTCAGGGTCAAACTTTAGAAGTTTAAAATATCCGCAGCTGACTACATTGTATTGAGCTGGACTTCCTTCTTGCCTCATACAAATTGCTACTCTGCTGGCTGTGGTGTGTACAGAGGACCCTCCCCCACACACACACTCTGGATGAGGCCAGGGTTGCTGCTAGCGGTCAGTGACAGTCAAGGTGGTCGCTGGAGGGACAGGCCAGCAGTAACACGTTGTTCTAACGGGTATGAGAGGCATATGCATGTCCAGAGCACCTCTCCAGGACACCTGGCTCCCTGGCTGCTGCGGACCACAGCTGTACCTGGCACAACAGAACTTTTAAAAGGCTCTTTCTGTTTAAGAAGCTAAAGTAGGCTTCAGCTAAAGGAGCTCTTAGCCTTCTCAAAGTTTTCTTAGGAGCCAGCAGGTCACAGGTAGAGGGGCCAGGACCGCGAGGCCGTGGTCAGGGGCGGAGGAGAAAGGTAAACGTAAGATCAAAAACAGCAGCAACAAAGGAGACTTGGATTCGAGTCTTACCCAAGCCCATCGTGTGCAGTGACTGGCTGCCCCTTCCCGGCCACAGACCTCAGTTTCCCCGTGAGTCGAGAAGGAAGTGCACATCGGCAGAATGCCTCTTCCTTCTAGATGCTGCCTGCTGGGAGGAACAGGGAAGTGTCATCCCTACTTCTGCTGACAGACACCGTGCCCTCCCACGCAGTTCACAGGGCCCTGTGCGGGCTCCATGGGAAGATGTCCGACAGCCCCTGCATGCCTAGACTCTGTGTGGTCTCTATTCAGAGAAACAGTGGTTCCATTGTGTCCTCTTTCACCGCTGCCTGTCTCCCCTTGGCAGGTCCTTGAGGGCTGGGTGCTGGTGACACTGAGGGGAGTCACCCCCATCCCACCTCTGCAACTGCAGACCAGGGGACTTCACAAGCTCCTAACTATGCTAAGAAAAAGAACAAGTGCACATGGAGGCCACAGGGCCAGGTGCTGAGCCAGGCAGGCAAGCGGACAGAGCTGTGTGATTGGAGAAGGTGTCTCTCCACAGCCCCCGGCTGTCCTGGTGGTCTCGGTGTGCCTCGAGAACAGCAGGACACCACGCCCTGGCCGGCACTAGGCCTTTCCAAGGCCTGGCCAGCCTGGATCCATCTGCCAAGCTCACCCCAGGCTTGGGCAGCAGAGATGAGACCTGCTTTCACAAGTTGGATTCTGCCCATGTCAATGACTCACCCACTGTTGCAAGGAGGAACCAGAAGCTAATTAAACTCAGGGTTTGAGCCCAGCCCTCTTCCTCTTCCCCACAAATGCAACCAAACCTGAAGAGTCCTGAGTCCATGCGGAAGGCTGACAGCCTCGTGGGGAAGGGAGCCCTGCCTTTCCTGGGGCCCCATAAGGAGGCCAGCCAATGTGAACCTCCCTTCCCACCTCTGCCTTCAACACCAAGAACGTGTGCAGGGCTGTCCTCTGACTGCTGTCCATCTTCGGTCTGCTATACCTAGTCACAAGAAAGTCATCACAACGGGGCTTGTCGAGGGTCATGGGACTCTCACCTGAGGATCCAGCCCCCTCCAACCATCTGTATGCCCTAATTCTTCCCCAATGCACAGGACTTTGGGGTCCTGGGGGGAGCTGGGGGAGAGGCTAGAGGGTATAGGTGGGGAAGGGCCTCCATTAATTCAACTGTGGGAAAGTCATCGTTCCTGCTGCATGAAGACTGTCATGTGCAGCCTTTTGCCAGGAAGTCAACGATCCCTCACTATACTCTGTGAGTAAACCCAATAAACTCATTGGTGTCTCCTAGTGAACTTTGGTGGGATTGTTGGGACCTGAGGAGGAGGAGTAGATGTTGGTCACATGTCCCCCTGGGAAGGAATTTTAACAAGACTGCTTTGATGACCAAGAGGGTCCCAGGCAAGGGAGTGGCCATCCAGAACCCCATGTCTTGCCAAGCTTCCCTCTCCAGCCCTGCCTCCATGCCGCCCCCTTGTGGCAGCAGCCTGCACCACAGTCAGAAAATCCAGGTTAGATCCACTAGAGTGTAAGGAAGGTCTTGAGGCCACCCCTCTGTGGCGAGAGCCTGAGGACACATCTCACTTTCAGCCTGATCAACATGGCTATCCTCTGGGCACTGGTCTTACTCTCAGAGAAGGAGGTGGCAGCCTCAGGGCAGGACAGAGCAGGTGCTGAGGCTGAGTGGGCACAGTCCACCAAGCAGCCAGTGAAGAAGTCTGCGTGGGAAGACAGGCGAGGCCTGTACCACAAAGGCCAGGGTTCAAGCCCCAGCACTAGATAAACCAGGCGTGGCGGTGCATGCCAGTCATCCAAGCACCAGAAGGCGGAGGCAGGAGAGAGGGTTCTTGCTCTCCCATCATAAAGACCAGAGTTTGAGCCCACAACCGCATGCTGAGCTACCTCACAGGAGTAGGCAGAGATGTTTATGTGGAAGACATCAGACACCCTCTTCTGGCCTTCGTGTGAACACATGCACCTGTGTACATGCCAATGCACATGCACACACACGCACACATGCACACACATGCACACACATATACATGCATGCACGAGACAGAAACCACAGCATCTGGACTATAGAAAGAGCTCTCGCTTGCAGAAACTGGGAAGACAGGCAGCCAGTACTGAACTGGAGAGAGCAGCTCAGCAGAAAAGCACTGTGTGTGTGAG